TTGATAAAGTGTGGGTTGTGTTGAAGTTTCGTAAATATTAACATTGTATAAGAATCGGTGCTCTTTATTGTAAATCACTGTGTAGGTCATACTGAGTACAATTAAATCTCAATAGTGGGTCGTGTTCAAGTCTTGTAGAGCTCAACATTGTATAAGGATCGATATCCTATTTGTAAATCACCAGAGGTATTGTAAAGGGTTGGATTATAGCATTGGGAGGCATAGCTTTAGAAGTTTCATTGTTTTGCTAGGTTCTTCTTCAATCTCAATTGCGTGGCTACCCTTTAAGGCTCTTTTTGCTTTCTATATTCCAAGAATTCTAACCTTAGCTCAGCAGTATTGTATGTTGAGTATTGTATTTTTTGTATCAAAAGTGTATGAAATTGTAACAAGCAGTATAATGGACCTTTGAGTTCGAATATCATTCTCACGAAGACTATATTTTAGGACTTAATCTAATTTTTCTAACTCCTATTTGATATAAGCAAATAAAGAATTATAATAGTTGTGATTTCTTTTCTAACTACTTTTAACTACTTGAAAACATCAATATTTTGCAAACATCAGTTGATTAAAAATTCAAATATGGGATAAATATCAGGGCATAACAATTTCATCTATTGATCACCTTGATTTTTAATTCAAGATTCATAATCTAATGTAGTGTTCGATCGAATTCTTCTATTGTATTCAATTTATCCCTCTCGGGTTCTCGTTGAGCCTATTTAATTAATTCAATTTCATATTTCTATGTGAATCAACTTTAGTTAAACGAAACACTAGTTCTAAGCATTCATATTATGACCGTAATGATTAGTATATGTATTTCTACACGTTATACTAATTTACCGGACTATATGATCTAAATCTCAAACTCACATCTCGATTCGTAAGAGACTCACATAATCATCAAATTGGTGATAAATTAATTAAATGCATTAAATTCATAGTAAAACCAACACATATATGAATAAATTACAGAAATCTTGAATAAAAGAATAAAAGATTACAAGTCGATTACATTATTTGCCATAATATAAAAATTAGTTACTTATAATGTAAAAATAAACACAAGAAATTGTTCTTGAATATATCATTGGATTCGTTTAATAAAGATGTAGATAAGAATTTAATCTTGCATCAAAATTTTCTTCCTCTTCCAATCAATACATCAAACTTGAATTCCTTGATGATTTCCTCTTTTGAATTTTACTCTTCGATCTCTCATTGTCTATTTGTTTTCTAAATGTTTTCAACAACAACTNNNTTTCTAAATGTTTTCAACAACAACTGTCCATCTTTTCTGTCCTCTGTATGCGTATGCATTTCTCTCGCCTAACTCAGCTGCACTTCGTGTATGTATGTGTGTGTGTGTGTATATAAGCGGCATCGGCAGCAGCATCCACCTCTCTTTTCTCCTTCTACGTATGCATGTGTTATCACTACAACAAAAACAACCTAACGGCAACTTTCAAAAAATGTTACCGTAGACCTTTTGCAACGTTTGGACGTGTGTTGCAAGTCGAGGTGTTACCGTAGAGTAGAAAGATACGGCAACGTTTTTCAAACGTTGCCAAAGACCCCTTTGGCAACATTTTTCAAACGTTGACCTTTCGCAACGTTTTCTAAACGTTGCCAAAGGGGTCTTTGGCAACTTTTTTAAACGTTTCCATAGACCTCTTTCGTAACGTTTAAAAAACGTTGCCGTATGGTCTTTTTTTTTTT